CCGCCATCTTTATCTAAAGTTAATCACAATCTGGTCTAATTACTATCTTCGAAAGTACCAGATTGACAGATCAGTTGTGTATGGAAGGATATACTTATTAACTCAAAGATCCTTTGACTTGAAAAAATGATTCATTACATTTTTATGTAAAAGAATTGATGGCTATTGTTCTGCTTAAACCTGATTATATGGATAATGCCTCCCTATTGTTATGTGATGATTATTCGAAAACTAAAAAATTGAAACCATATACCACTCAATTGAAGAGACTGTTAGATTATTATGGAAAACAGTGGATGAAACCGTCAATCAGAACAATGATTTCATTTTATAATTGTCAATTTAGAACTAATAATTGGAATGAAGCTTACAATTTAGCTTTTCAAAATCGTGCTGAAAAGCCGCATCTCTCAGTCTGGGCTATGTTTGATTTGTTAATAACCGAAGAAATTGCAGCGCGACTATCTCATCATCAATCAGCTGCTGGCAAACCAAAGAAGATTCATCAAAAGTCTCACGATTCATCTAAAGCAATAGGTGATCAGGAAAATATTAACAAAAAATTAGATAATGATAAAACTACATTGAATTCAGCATTGCAATCTCTAGTAGGTGTTATAGAGATTCAATATGATAAGTACAGAAATGGAAAGAAAGGTTTTTGTTATTTTTTTATAAGTCCAAATTCTAAGTTTTGTCGTTTGAGAAACAGAGTGTCTTCCTTTTGTCTGCTTCATAACTCAAGTTAATACCTTTTGTCGTGTTTTAAGATCTTTCTACCTACGCTATTTATATTTTGACAAGAAAATTCTGCTATTTGGAAATAATATAAAATGGCAAAGAACAAGGTTCAGTATTATGAATTATCTTTTACAGCCACTGGTACATATAACAGTTTTGGTAAGTGAGCTTGAGGAAGATAGATAATATTTTTTAATAGATGAATTGAAGCAATGGTGTCTTGATGATGATAGTTATCAAAAACTGTATCTAGCAATTGCAAATGATAAATTGTTGAAAGATTTAACAGAATTCGTCGAAGATTGAAATAACCATGAACAAAAATCTGATACTGCCAATTCCACAACATACAGAAAAGAAAATGGACGTAAAATTGATTCATCAAGAAGTTATAAATTAGTACGTGAATCCGATGATTCTGATATATTTCATTTATATGTTGAAATTACAAAAGGCGAAATTGTGGTAAGTTTGTGTGACACTGTTCTAAATAATAAATTCACAATGTTCTCTGACAATAAACAAATTGGCTGTATCAGTTGCAGCTTTTAAATCTTTTACAATGGTGATAATACCAGAATCACGCATCTTCTCCAAAGCCACCGTTAATAAAAATTCACATTCCACCGAATTTGTCAGCATTTTAAAATGATCTATATTGCGAAGGAGTAGGCAAGCTCGTTATGGACATCTCTAGAACAGTGTCACACAAACTTACCACAATTTCGCCTTTTGTAATTTCAACATATAA